ACAGAAATGGAGTATGATACGTTCAAAAAATATACGTGGGTTTCTTTTATAGCGTACCGCTTGCAAGTATTATCTTAGAGATCTTCGATATCTCTACATTTTATTTCACATAAGTGTTACAAAATTATATTTAAAATTAAGTATTTTATACAGTATATAAAGTACTATTTAGAACGAGTTAAAATGTTAGCTCAAATCAAATTCTACTTCATCACTGGGGCTACTTGGAAGGTTTCTATTATCTTCTATTTTAATAATAGTTTGCATTATATCATCTATCATCACGTATAAGTATCTATACTCATATTTCCCAGATTCATTCTGTAAACAAATTTAACATGTTAGCTTTGGATATAACTGAACACATATATTATTAAGAAGAAAATCTTACTTCCTGCACTTCTAAATTCACTGTACCACGTCTTCTTATACCTTGAATATAAAATTTCATTCTCATGTGTCGTACCCCATCCTTTTCAAAAATTATGTACCTACAAAGTAATGTACCATTTATTTAAAACGAAAATTTCTAAGCAATATAAATTTAAACTTACTTTATATGACTTCTACGTCCACGACGACTTTCTTCTCCGTATGCTTTGATAGGCTCTCCAAGAGCATTTACTACTTTAGGATCTTTGATACACCGATCTAATGCCTTGCTGTATACATTATTTGGACTTTTAGTAGAAAACAATTCATTAAAAATCATATAAAACATAAAAGCAGTGATCCCTACACCGCCAATGATTACACCTAAGTATCCAGCTGATTTTGTGTTTTCTTTAACTGAAACAACAAAGATTATTCAGAGAGATACAAAGTTTCTAATGCAAATATCTTTATACACATTTATGAAATTTACCTACTTCCGCAAATCCAACTTGCAGCTTGTTTTCATGTTCAAGATTATCAGCTTTTGCAATTGATCTCTTTGTGCAATACAATGCTTTTTGTTGAAAACCAGATGTTACATTGTAATAAGAAAAAACGCATACATTTCTTAGACTAGATACTGCTGCGAATCTTTTGTATGAAATATAAGGGATTATTCTTGCTGTGGCCATTTTCTAAAACGTTGATAAATGTAACGTATACAAAAAAAAATAAGAAAACTGATAGCTGTTTCGAAATATCCGACGACCCCATTTTGGTGAACAAATTTTGTACGAACTTTTAACAATAAAATTGGTACGGAACGATCAATTAAAATATTAAAAATAATATAAATACGGTATGCATTTTTTAATAAATGATGTTTAAAATACTTTGTATGTTATAAAACAATTGTAACAATACTCTCAAAATCATAAAAACTATTGGACAAATTGTGCTACTATAGCCTCAACATATCTTCTCATAAATGAATGTTCGCTTCTTTTTCAGTTTTACGTACCTAGATATATATGAAAACTGTTTCATTTGTGAAAATCAATAACTATATTTCAAAGAAATACCAATTCAAACGGCACTCTGATAGCTCTTAATCATGTTTGGTTATTTCGTGCTCCGTTTGAAAGATTAGGTAAAGTTAGGTTAGGAAGTTATTAAAAACAAACGGAACATAACCTCCTTTACGTGTCAGCGGTATCGGTTAGTGTGGTTGCTTTTAAAAAAGTGATTATTAAGAAAAATACAGAATAGAACTAACAAAAAGGAAAGTAAAATAATAATTCTTAATGAAGACTGCTCCGCATCAAAGGTTGGTCATGGTTGGCGATCGCGACGGGCAAGTATTTTGGAAATAAAACAAATGTTGTGAGTTATTTTTTAAATAAAAAATCGTGACTCATTTTATTAACATTTTGTTTAGCTTAAAAGAGTTATTACGTCGTCGATTAGTCGAATGTGGCTGGAGAGATCAAGTGAAATTAATCTGCAAAGAATTAATAAAAGAACATGGTCATGAAATTACTTATGACAAGTTGCTTTCAATGGTTACAAGCAAAGCAAGAACACTTGTACCAGACTCTGTTAAAAAGGAACTTTTACAGAAGATAAAAAATCAGCTACTTGCTCAAGAAGAAAAATTGAAAATGTAATGATCTATAGACTGTTGTTTTGTATATACAAAGGACATTGGCTGAGACTGAATACAAACCATGATATGTCATTTTAATATCCATCATGTATTTCTATCTAATATTACAAATATCTTTAATTTATAAACTAGGCTAAAATTACATATAAATAAATTATATTTACATAGATTAATACAAATGCTTTGGTTAATCATAAATATATCTACTTATACACATATAAATATCGACATGTATTTAACAATAATTTATAATTTAAGTTCCTGAAACTTGTACAATAATCAATACCGTGAAAAGAATTGTTTTAACTATCTAAACACTATTGACATCATTATTCATTCAATGAGAGATGATACCTGTCATATTACGCATTTTCGTTCGTTCTGCGCATTCTTGACTGCGCACAATCGTCTGCGCAAGCGCGTTGCGACACTGTGCAGGCGCGTCGCGGCACTGCGCAGGTGTGTCGCGGCACTGCGCAGGCGCGTCGCGACACTGCGCAGCATACCTAGTGGTCCCTATATTCAGTACTTCCCCAACCTTCGGCGCGTCGCGATGTGTGTGATTACTTGTTTTGTTTATTCATATATTCTTGTTCACCGTGTATATGACCACGAAGTGCCACGAAGTTAGAAGTAAAATAGAGGATCTCTCTGAGCTGCGCGAAACAGGTATATTCTTTCGTTGAACGAATAATTTAAGTTAATGGTTTGCCGCCAGAAGGCGGTGTACGAACCTTTAAGATTTTTACTTCGATTTCAAAGAGCTGTATAGTTGTATCTTATTGTCAGTAGTTTTTAATTTGTAATCTTACAATAATTATTTAAGTTATTTTTTAACGCATAAACAATGTTGATCAAAGTGAAGGTAAGAACAATAACCGGCGGAGATGGAGCTGCAACATTTATAACCAGTTCTGAAAGTATATTCTAACCTTGTTTCAGACTCTTACCGGAAAGGAGGCAAGTAACTTAATTGCAAATTAATGTTATGTATTTTTTAATATGATTCGGAGGCTTATCGCATAAGACAATGGTTATTGATACATGGGTACACGTATGAATAGAGGGGAAAAAGCTGTGTAAACAAGATAACCTCTTCTAACAGAAACGCGTTGCCGCATAAGAGTGTAAAACTTGACATTTCATGTATAAGAACGTGTTTTTATAGATTATAATTTCTCTAATTCAACAGATGCTTGTATTTCTTTGTATTTAATACTATTTGTTGTTGTACCATACAAATATCTCATTAAACAATAAGTAAATTTATATTTAAGTTCAAAAGCAATTATAGATATCGTTGTTCTCATAGATCGAAATAGATATTGAACCTACAGATAAAGTAGAAAGGATCAAGGAAAGGGTGGAAGAGAAGGAAGGCATACCACCTCAGCAACAACGATTAATATTTTCTGGGAAACAAATGTAGGTATTGTAATTGTTAATAGAAATAATTTATGCAATTATTTAAGAAGGTTGTTATAGCAAGAACTAGCTTTACCACATTTCACTTGACATCACCTTTAGTATGAAATTCCTTAAAGCAAGGTGTAACACATAATCCTACATTGCAGTAAGCACAGTAGTAACGAGATTCCTTTCTCAGTCCTTTAGATGCACAAATTTTACATCTTCTTGTAGCATTTGCCTTCTTTGCAGTTGATGGAACATATTCTGGAAAGTGATTTTCTGTACTCCTTACTGCATCCGAATCACTCTGTTGTCTTGCCCTCCATATTCCTGTTCCATCAATCATGTCGTTTCAGTATTATTTTCTCTTGTCTCCCTTTTTGTCATGTGCAGTTTGTATTTACATAAAAGTGAACGTAGCTTAAATTAAGCGTATAGTTGCGTGTTTAAAATTATTTTACAAATGTAAGCCATGTTTTAGAAGAAAAAAAAAAGAAAAAATAAAAGAAAAAAAAATATGTTTGATATTTTCTAGGAATGATGAGAAAACGGCGCAAGATTATAAGGTTCAAGGCGGATCAGTGTTGCATTTGGTACTCGCATTAAGGGGGGGCTTATAATTATAACATTCCACGATTCGGAATGTATGTATGTGTGAATATTAAGGAATTTACAAGATCAACCACAAAAATAATAGGACGCTTTCCAATGTTACATGCGCGCTGTGTTTGCAAGGACTTACAAATCGTCTTTGTACATCAATGTGATTAAACGATTACGTTTAGAATTCAAATAAATATTTAATAAAATAATTCAATTATAGAAACCTAATACTTGCTTCACCGATAAACCGAGTATACTATGAATCGAATTTCACAGTTTTCGCCGTCTCGATCGAAGCGAGACCCGATCCGAATTCGAGACGAACGTCTCAATATCTATGGCATTTACCAATATCAGTTGTTGGGCTCCACTTTATTTAAAAAAAAAATCGTTGAGAAATAGTGCAGCACGCGGTAGAATTCTGCGACTCTTCGTGTTTCGATGTACTTATGTCCGTGGTTGACGACTCTTTAAATTTATCTATTCTAGAGTAACGTTATAATGATATTGTATCGCGTTCCCTAACGTGAGAATTTGGTAAACTTATAAGTAATGTTACTTATTTAATGTAAATCGATTTATTTACATTGCTGTAATAACATTTCAAAGCATACTTTAATATCGCTTTTAACTCTCTTACAAGCTCACAATGAATTACATATACATAAACACATTTCTGAATTGCCGACGAAAAATTTGACGATTGCTATCGAGCATACGTATCTCTACGATCACTTTGTATTTCTAGATACGTGGTGCGTTTTGCATTCGCGTACAATTATAATTACACGTTTATGAAATAAACATTTCATCGAGAAGTAATAGCTACGCGTATTGTTTCTTCGCGAAACCTACTGGCCTGTGAAAACAAAGATTATTCTTCATTGCAACGAAAACTCATCGTATTCTTATAAATGCATTGTTCGCCTTTTTTTCTTTTTCTCTGGTTTTTATTAATTTTTTTTTTTTTTAAGATTTAGTAAATCTATCGTGCGATACATCGTACAAATTCACACGGTCCTAATAATCTTATCGACTAATTATAAGAGAAAGAAACGCATCGCAACGAAATGAAGTACATGTTTCGCTTAAAGTTTAATTAAACGCGTTTATCCTGATCGTTTGCTTAGCAAGTACCCTTGATTACTTTTTTTTTTCTTTTCTTTTCATTTTCTTTGAAGCTTCGTGCGATTCTCAACAGCGAGTATCTACGTTTAAAACTACGTCACTACGAATTAAGTGCATCTTCATTGTGCATAAACGCGTTCTTTCGTTTCGAAATCGTATAATTTCATATTCGTTAACTAATCGAAACGGAATACCTGTATATCTCGCAAACAGCAAGCAAAGTTTCATAGTATCTCACTTGAAAAGAAAAATCGAACTCTTCTTTCAAAATTTTTTTTTTCAATCATAAAATGTCGCAATAAACTTCATTACGTTAATGTATTTCTATAACATTATCGATTAATTTTCCGTTTGCTTAATCATAATTATCTTTTTAGACATTTTCTTAAATACAATCTATTTACTGAGATTACGTAGAATTTATAGACCTTACAGAGTACGATTCTCGAACAATATTGATTACTGGCATCCAACTAATTCGTAATAAAACGATACACAATGCGCAATATGCAAATGTTCATCTTTTTTTTTCTTTTTTTTTTTTCTTTTCTTAATCAATCGCTACCGTAACGACACGGAACGAAGGTGTTGAAACTCGCGCGAGATCGTTTCGCAAAATGCATCGGTGGCGCAAGTTTGAAATCGTAATTCAATTGAAATGGTACAGACTTTGGGTGAGGCGAGTGTTACTCGCGTTACGCATGATCGTAGCTCTTTTTTTTATTTTTTTTCTCTCTTGAAATCTGTACAGAGACAATGTTTACACGAAGCCACTGGCGAAAGTAATGAAAAACTGTTGATTCTCTTTATAACTCTCTTATAGTCTCTGTCAACTGTGGTAAACATCTGGAAAAGTTAATATGTAAACTGTAAAACTATACAGATAGTTGTGTGTAAGGCACTGTCTATGCGTTCCATCGAAGTAGCTAAGGTTTCATCTTGATCGCAACGAAAAAATCGAGCACGCGAACAACAGACGTGTAAACAGAGTCAGTGTAACTGGTGGAACTTCGTTTTCCATTCGATTCGAATCGTTCACAATGATTCGATTTTATCGTCGCTCATCATTCGCCTCGAAACACTGCGATTTTCATTATTTTTCCTATTCGTGATATAAAAGGTACAGTAATTGCGCTCGTAACGATGGTACAATCGGTGGTCATTTCGGATAAGTCATGGTGGTTGCGTTAAAAAAGAAAATCGGTAAAGGTACTTACTAGTGGAATTGTCAAGTTCTCGCTTTCGTCCCCGAATGTACCATAATTACAGTCGAACACTGTACATGTTTGCATTTTATAATATTCTATCATCCTGTCAACTAATGCATAAATACAAGTTTGCGGCTGATCGGTAGCAACAGCGTAATCATCGATCTCTTCTAATGATTTTTGCGAACGGTAACATCTGGACGCGTAACAGAGATCCACGGTACGGTCGATGCCACTTAACGATTACAACAAGAGCAACAGACGAGACAAGTTTAACGACCACTTAAAGTACTGTACAGCAATGACTAGAATCCTTACACGGAAAGGAGACGTTTTGTCGTTTTATTGTTACTTGTAGACATCGAACAAGAATTAAACAAAAATAATAGATGATCTTTTCGATTTCTTACCACAACATTGAAAGCAACGTGGCAACGAGAAATGACGCGTCGTCTTAATCGAGTTAAAAAACTAAAAAGTAAAATTGATCGTTTGTTGTTTGTGACAAGATTCTTGGTTTTCGATGGAAAAATATACTTCTGTCTTACTACGGTGAGTATAGTGTAACGATTACGGGGAACGTAAGAGATCTGGTAGACACTGGCAATGAAAGTGAGATCGAAAACGATAATAATAAATTATAAAGTCCCATGTTACTGTCCACGGAGTCGCAGTTTTACATGTTAAGCTTAACGCTATAAAAATCGCGGGTAGCGGGAACGAATTCTATGCGATAACTATGAAGGAGTACGCGAGAGATTCTTTAGATTCCTGCCTCGTTTCTAATACTGTAGACGCGATGAACGTGTGTCAATTAGCTCGTATCTCACTGTGTACAAAGTGTACGAAACGTTGTGTCGATGTTTTCTTTTTAAGTAGATCGAAGATGGCTCGATAAAAGCGCACTTACCAAAGGAGAAAGAAGATCGACATCGGTAAACTGCTGAATGGCAAACACGGAAAGTAAGGAAATAAATAGACGTGTACGATGTAACGAGGAGGAGGGGGAGAGAAAAATAAATGAAAAAGAAGATAAATAAATTGTAGATACCAATGGAAAAGATTGAACGATCTTTTTGAATCGAGGCAAAAAATATTTTATAGGAGATAGAAATGAAAAGAACGTAAGGGAACCAGGGCGGAGCGAGAAGCAATGTTTCTCTCGGCGTGGTAAAGAATCTCTACGAGTCCAATTCGTTTTTCGAGCTGCGCTGCTTCTGGATCGTTTTTTGCCATTGCATGTTATGTTTCAAACGCATGTGACGTCGCAGGTCGGTTCTACGACTGAGAGTGGTGTGACATAGGATGCAGGTTGTCTGGTTGCGATGCACTTCGAGGTGCTGGGTCAGCGAAGCAAGGTGCTTGTAAACGCTTCCGCAGAGTCTGCACGAAAAACGCCCTGGACCCTGCATCACCACTTGACCAGTTGTATCGCCAACATGCTTCCGATTGCGTCCCACCCCCCCTGCAACACATTAACACAGCCACGTGACCCGCCGATTCCTCATTCATTTTTATTTATTTTTGTTTTTGTTTTTGTTTTTTTTTCTTTTCCTAGTCAATCAGAGTCAGACATTCAATCAGATCTTTGAGGGGACAGTAACACGTAACATAGACTACAGTATTATCTCTCTAAGTGACAAGGTTTCTAGAATCCTGACAAGCGAGAGTGGAAGGTCGGGGGCGTAGGAGAACTGGATAGGTACGAGGGGATAAAAATCATTAATGCAACTAAAAATATACTGGTCGCAGACATTGAAGGAACATTTCAGACCAGCCTAACCCGCCATCTGGAGCGCGTTTATCGCGTTGTAAAATATAGCTAGTCAGAAATGGACCTAAAATGGTATCCTACGTAATCCGTAGCACATATACAATGTTGTCCACGGGACAGACCTCGGTTCAATCTCCCACTACTTTCCTTTGGCTTTCATGGCGCAAACAAAATCAATACATATCTAAACTACTCGGGGACTGTGCAACAAGTGTGTGTGAACACACACACACGCGAGGGTCAAAGGGGTAGATACCCCTTATCTTGAACTGGACCTGGGACCAATTAGGGACAAAGGGGTTGAAACCCTTATCCCGAACTGGACTCGATACCAGTTCCCGCGGTGGTGGGGGAAGGCCCACAATTTATACCCTCCACCGTGCTGGCTGCGCATGCGCACTTCTCACTCTCGCTTGACGCAGGCGTCATCTCCACCACTCACTGCAGTTATTGTCTTTCAGTCGAAGGGGTAAGAACAAAGTTGAAATTTTGAAAAGAATATTTTACAAGGATTTTTTCACTTGATTCGAACGATTTACACGTTGGTCATCGAGTATCAACGTTGTTAGCGTGAAAGAATCGAACGGAAATAAGAAAGATGTTGATGTAAAAGCGTGAAAATGTTAAAGCACAATTAACATAACCGCTGCAGGTAACCCACTCTCGTGACCACCTATTCGAAGTTGGTTAATAACTTACAGGTACATATGTTTATAAACAAATAAATTCTTAACGATACGTTTGCCACCATTAACGAAATTATCCGTGCAAGTTTGTTAATTTTTCATGGAGAAATTATCTATACGATGTCGTGTGCGGTTTTGTACCTAAGAAAATGATATTTCTACTTTTAAAAAAAGGACTCGGTTGAATTCACATTTTGAAACTTTATTCACACATATTTTGTTTTACTTACATCGTTAAACAACTTGCATAAGCCAAACATATAAGACTGTGTAATGATATATTATAATATTTTATATATATATATATATTTTTATTTATTTATTCATATATATAGATGTTTCTTATTTTTATAAATAATCAAAGAAAGAAATATCAATTTGTCTAAAGTAATAATTGGCATTCTTGTACTTATTTGTATTGTGGCTTCTGAGGAATGTGCACATTCGTTTTGTTTAAAATTAAACACGCGAGTTTGTCAATTATAAAAAATATAAATAAACGCGTGTACAGTGTTTCGTATTTCTCGTTTCTTAGAGAATTTACGTAAAATCACATACTATAAGCTAATATAAATTAAAAAAAAGGAAACAACAAAATAGTATATCGCACCTAAATATTGATTCGTGCCTTTGAAAGTAACGTTGCTAGTTTCGATTTAAAAATAAAGACGCTGAAATTATCTAATTAAAAAATAAACGTGCAAATTATGTGACGTAGAGCGTGACAAGCACGGAACATGAACGCATGCGATCGCAAAATGGAACACAAGCATTATTGAACTTCGCCCAATAAATAGTGAACTCTATTTTACTCGCGCGTTGACTGCCACAACTAATTTCTTGCCAATTTCATGTAAAATAGACACACGGACATTTTTCACACAAAACAGAATTAGCCTAAAATAATTAAAGTTAGCGATTAACTCCTTCGACCCGTCGCTTTCGCCTTCAGACATCATTGCACGCGTCTGTACTTTGCGACATTTCCATTAAACTGTCCTCTATCCAGCATTTTCTCAACTAGCTTCAATTTGTACTTCGTCACGTCACGATCAAATTTTGTTTAAAACGCAGGTAGATTGCAATATTGCGTTCGATTGCAACGTCCTATGACTTTGGCATACAGCAAGGATTCGCTTTCGATAAATCGCGATCGATAGCCTCTATTTGTGATTGCACGATAAGGAGAAAAAATAGACTCGAATCGGGAACTTCCGATTATTGGCTTCTTTGGGTATTTAGATTAGATTAAAAGGAACCCGCAATGGCGGAACTAGATTAAAGCTAAGGTAACTAAAACGAAATAAAACAAACAAACAATATAAGCACAACAAAAAAGAACGGGGGAAGCTAAAGTAAAAATGATGATCGATTAAAGGTATCCAACTTTTATATCCTTACAGGGATAAGACGAATAAATGAAAATCAAATTCTTTACATACAACTACGTAAACGCACGTGTACGATGTACGTGCATACGAACTGGGCAAGCTTTTCTAATTTATAACTAAAATATATATATATATATATATACCTACATATATATGAGTATATTTAATATCGTAAACGTATGTATTATGGCCAAATTTTTAGTCTGCGAACAGACTGAGCAATTTCAAATGCGACTCTGAGCGCGAAAATGCTTTCACACGGGATTGACTTAAAAGATAATGGCACGTTTCGATACAAGACTGCGCATCGAATGAAATTAGAAAAAAAAAAAAAAAAAAAAAAAAATCATCGGTTGAAAGGATGCAACTAAGACGACATCGAATCCACAGTCTCACAGTCGATCGATTCCATTCACCGTTTGACACGGTGTCATCTTCGCGAGCGCACAAAGAAAGATGCACATTCCTCCTTACGCTATTTTGTTTAAGTACCGAACTCATTTGACTAGATAAAATAATTTGCCTTTTTCCCTTATTATCTTGTCCACTGCGTATGTCTTTGGTTACAAAAAGAAACATAGGTATTCCGCGCGATTTACGCACACGATCCTCCTTCTTTCTCAGTTTCTTCTTCTTCTCCTCTTGCTCCTCCTGTTACTTTTCATTCTCCTTCTCCTCCTCTTCCTCCATTTTTATATGCATATACACATATACATAGACGTAACGTACATACACGTACACGCGTGTATACAAATGACTAGGGCGTAAAAGTGTAAGACAGGCATCTTTAGTAATAGGTAATCCCGTCGACGACTAGAGTGGAATAGGTTCTGTTCATTTTTTTTTTCTTTTTTTTTTCTTTTTTTTTCATTTTATCATTAATGCCGCGTGCATCGTTAAAGATTGCGCATCTGTGATCTAGAAACTCCGAGACACTGGCGAACGCAACTTCATTGATTAACTTAAGTATCTCTTCGTAAACGGAGCGAGTATCCCTTTTGGAAACTCTCAGCGACCGAGAAAACACGATTGACAATCGACTAATTTTTTTTAACACAATTCGCGTAATAAATAAATCTAATATATACGAGCAAACGAGTATATCGATCCAAAGATTAATGGTTCCCTTATAATTCTACGTTCCCATCGGAATAACCGGGCTAGGGACATCGACTACGAGATCGCAGAGAGAATCAGAAGCGCGAAACTAACAGGGATAAACGTTGGATGACCCAAAAAATTACTACGGTGTTCCAAAATTTTCATTCATCCTGCGTATTCCCTCCACTCATCCCCTTCTATCGTTCACTTATGCCTATTGGAAAATATTTCTCTCCACCGTTCGAGGCGAGGCTCGACAACCGCGTAATGCTTTTTGGAGCCATCCACGATATGAAGTTAAGTGAAAAATAATAGAAAGGGGTAGGTGGTGAGCGACGAAGGATATCGCGACGTTCGGTTTTTAACCTCTGTTCTGTCGACGGGCGTGATGTGGCGGGTTCGATAACAAGATATGCTCGCACTAAGGAATAGGACTAGAAGTGATCCTTTCGACGCTGCTCTCCCTAATGCGTATAGTGGTGTAGGTAGCATTAGAATCGAGATCGTCAGGTGGACTTCCGGCGTTCTGATGGGCGATCTGATGGGCGGTGGAGGAGACGGAAATGGGTGTCGGCAAGGGTGCGGTGGCGGATGTATCGGTCGGACCGGAAGATCCGGTGACAGCGGTGACAACCGGTACACCGGATACGACAGAGGCGGCGGCGGCTGCGGCATTGGTGGTGCTCGCGGTTGCGGTTGCTGCTGCTGCTGCGGCTGCGGCTGCGGCGTTCGCCACTGCGGCTGCGGCGGCGGCGGCGGTCGTCCCGACGCCTAGCCAACCGTGCCGATTTTTTAAATGTCGCTTCATGTGCGTCGTGCGGCTCAGCACTTTATGACACACCGGGCACTGTGTAGTCCCTTTGTGCATGTTCATGTGTTTGTACATCGAGTCCCGATTCCAAAACGTTTTACCGCAGAGTTTGCACGAGTGCGACGGCTGTTCGATGACCACCGTGCGTGAATCTAAATCAGATATAAACGTTTCATGGTAGTGCGTGCGCCGATCATCACGATTCCATCGTGTATCGAACGATCACGATTTTTTTTCTTTCCTTGCACTATCATCGTCACATACCAATATCTTTCTCTCCCACCCACGCACACAGACGCACACACATGTATATATGTACACTCTCTATGGATCGAACGATCGATCTCGCGAAAGCTCTACACATTGATCGATTATATTTCCTTGGATAAACGTTACAACAACATCTCGCGCCATGATCTTCTTCGTTTCTCTTGTTAGAATCCTTTCGTCCTTTTGCTATCGTCTACATTTCCTACTCACTCGCTCGCTACCGTCTCCTTCGATCTCTATTGGCGAATCGAGGGGATGAATGGTGATGAAAAAAAAAAAAAAAAAGGGAAAAAAAAGGGCAGCACACACGATGTGAGTGTCGTACAAGGAAGAGCTGTCACGAGGTGATGAACACGCAACTGTAAAAACTCTTGGAGCAATCATGCTACTGTGAATTGTGGATAACAACGTTCGAACAACAATAAAAAAAAA